GAACAAGTATCAAGCAGAGAGGAAACAAGAGTCAAGTCAGGAGCAAGCCAGGTAGGCAACAAAGGAATCACACAGGAACAAGCAGGACATGGAAGGAGCTGAAGACAAGTCAGCCCGTAGCATAGGCAGAGGCACCCTTTAAATAGTCTGTCTGGTGCCAATCTTCACCGTGCATGTGCACGTGCGCGATCATGCATTTTTGTACGCATGTGCATGACTGATCACTCTTCTCTGGACATTTCTATGCACATGCACCAGGAAGCTGATTGGTTTCTATGCAGAATTGAGCCTGTTTTTCCACTCTCCAGCTTTAGTAAATAAACCCCACACATCCTGCTCTTTATTGGTTTTAAATAAGGTTTTTGGCCACTTACCCTCTACCCAGCTGATTTGGCATGCAGCATATAGTCAGGTAGTTAAATGGTAGTCTACCATTCCTATTTGATCTATCCAGTATTTTAATATAATGTATAGACCTATCATAAAAATGACCCTGGTAGTAACAATGCCTTGAAAACTGAAAAGTAGATTTTAAATGGCATCCTGTTTTAAACTAAATGAAAGTATCACACATACTTTAGAATTTTCAAATACCTTTAAGAAATATAGATGCAAAGGTTTTTTTCTTATGGTGCACCACTTAGGATGAAATCACTATGTGTATTTCTGACTTTGACAGGTAAATGGAATCCATTAGCTCAAAATATATTTAGGGGAATTTAAAATGAATTGTTCATGTACAAAGGCACATATTCAATGATAGAAAAGTTAGTTTTTGCAGTATAAATTCATGACAAGCCCAACTCCATTCGTGCTACTGAAATTGACTCTGATGAGTGATATAACCAAGTACTCACTAACTTTGTCATTTACTGTAGCATACAGGTGGCTAAAAGGATTTTATGAGCATCATATACTGACAAGTGAAATCTCTTTCATATTTGAGAGATATATAAACCCTGCAGATCTCAGTCTTCTTTTTTTAAATTACACATAAGCCACAAGCTTTCAATTCATATCATGAAAGTCTAGCTTTAAAACATCAGAGAGATCTACAGAAGAGAAGCAATGTGTCCTAGCAACCACTTCTAAGAGATTTCCAGACCGTGTTTTTGCAGCAAGTGAAAGTTCAGTACAAGCTTTGTCTGGATTGTTCAAAGAAACGGAGATAATATTGTTTTATCTGGGCAATTACACGTACATACACATTCATTTAATGTATAGCGACAGACACATACTGTGGGAAGTTGCTCCTTAGATATACTTTGTCTACAAATGTCTGTCTGTGTGGGTTTAAAGGTATACTCCAGTTGAAGTTTAAAATAAACTTTTCCTAAAACATTTAAATATATACTGCCCACTGCTTTGCTTTTTCATGCAGGCATTGCTGTAGTGTACTGTCCATCCAAGGCCCCTTTGTCACTAATCTTATGATTTATGAACTCCTGTCAGTGATGCAGGGAAGATATTCCTAAACACTCCAAAAAAAAAGTCTGTACCAAGAAGTTCTATACAACCACTAGCCATAGTCTGTCTGAGTCTTAGGCACACTGGGAGTTTTAATCACGCTGGTAACTTTAGCTGTGTAAAGTCACATTACAAACATGAGTTTTTCAGCATTTTTGCATTTAGTATTTTGCCGTGTTGCATTTTTTAGCTTTTTTTAAAAATAAAAAAAATTGTTTTTTTGCTCAAAAAAAGTCCAAAAATGCCAGTTTGGCATGTTTTACTACTTTTTGCCATGTTTTTTCTGCCTTTTTCAGTGTTAGAGAATTTTTACAGCTAAAAAACTCCTCTAGAAACCCACTAGTTCTGGGGTTTTTTCCAGCTAAAAAACTCTCCTGCCAAAAAAACGCTGATTATAGTCTAAGTTCTCATGCACACTACACATTTTTTCAGCTGCTGTTTTTGGCTTTTGGCATTTTCTTCAACAGCCAGTAAACTCCCCAGTATGTTATCCTATGTGTCCATGCACACATAGACTGTAATCAGCATTTTTTGGCAGGAAAAAAAATCCAGAACTACTAGTGGGATTCTAGAAGACATTTTAGCTTTAAAAACGCTCAAATGCTGAAAAACGTGGCAATAAGCAGTAAAATGCAGCAAACGGCATTTTTTTACTTTTGTGAGCAAAAAAATGCTAAAAAAAAGCTAATTGCTAATGCAAAAACGCAAAAAAATTCTGAAATACTCACGTTTTTTAATGTGACTTTACACAGCTAACGTTACCACCATTATTAAAAGCCCAGTTTGCATATGTGTGCATGGATGCTGGGGAGTTTACTGGCTGTAGAAAAAAATGCCAAAATCCAAAAACAGCAGCTGTAAAAAAATCCAGTGTGCATAAGGACTAAATATAATTGATGATATCATGGTAGAAATTTACATATCAAAAGCTTTTGGAATTAGACTAGCAAGTAAATATTTGAGGTTCTGCCAGGCTTCTGACTGCACTTGATAAGAAAAAACCTGTAATAAAAAAAAATCAGTACATTTTCTTGTTATAGCACATTTGCAGTTTTTGCTGAATAGCATATACAACATTAAAACAGATGCATACATATGCATTTAGTAACATGCATATACTGTTACAGCAGACCAATAAAAACTTTGGAAAGTATCCAGGATGGGAAGTATGTCTGTACCAAACAGAGGAGGTTTGCTAAATCATTTTCTTTTTCATTAAATGCAAGAACTGAGATTTTTTTCTTCTGGCTTATTTGACAATCATCCAAGCTGAAGTAGGCCGAGTCATTTTGGGCTCTATATAAACCCCCAGCCTGTTTTAGGGTTTTTGCTTGACCACTTTCTGTTCATATCGCACTGGGGAGCACTGGACCACCTGTGGGGTGAAGCACAACGTTTGTTTGATGAGATATAGTCTGTGTGGCAGGTACTTTGTTTTGCAGAGAGTTGGGCACCTGAACAGCAGTAGGTTGCTTTAGGTCTGTGAGCCAGGAAGCCTGTATGTTATTAAGACACCAATTTGCTATGTTTTATTTTCTTGTTTTCTTTTTGTTTTGCTGTTTTTGTTCCTGTATTTAGTGTATATAGTCTTTGCAAAAGACTGCATATGTGTTTAAAAAAACTGTAGTTTGCTGCATCTGCTTAAAGTCATGTGAACTCATCTGGGGAGTCAAACGCACACCCTGCTGCTGAGATAATCCTTCACAATACTTAAAGAGTAGCTAAACTGTGGATGCTGTGCCAGAGGAGCCAGAGAATGGATGAAGAAAAATCAGGGAGTTGCTTGTACTGCAGGTTCTCAGTTACAGCTTTTTTATCCAGCAAGGAGAACAGAAAGTAGCAAAGCAGTGATGTGACCAAATCTCCCTCTAAATCTTGTATGACTAGCAGTCAGAGGCAGAGGTGCCTTAGATGATCTTACACTGCAAATATACAGCTATGAGGCTCAAGCCTAAGGTAGTGTACTACTATTTTTCAGAAGGAATTCAACTCAACACAATAGGTCAATTTGTCAGGGTATTACTAAGCATGATCGAAAATTCTTAATATTTCCTATAATATAGCAGATATAATATAGCAGAACTTCAACCAGTGATCACATGAATAGTAGTAAACAAGATGTCACCTCCTAAATGATACAAATTCCTCCTGCGCTATATGAAGTACCTAGAAATGAAAGCCGCTAACACTCTAAACTGATACCTTGTGCAGTGAACAAAACTAACCATATAGTGCAGCGCTACTGTAGTATTCCCCCAACTTCAAATCGTAAAAATATTCAAATAAATATCACATGTGACTAATTAAATATTAACACACTAAATATAATTAATAAATGAATACACAAAGTTCCACAATGGGCTCCAAATACAAGTGTACACTTAATAAGTGATCAGCGGTCCTGATATGTACTTCAGGACCTGTGCCTTAATATTCTTTCAACATGTGCATGAATATAAACTATCCCCCCATAAATAGCATATACTAAAATGTGATCAGTGAACACAATAAAGTGACCAACTAAAAATTCAAATATATGATTTCACATAGCTTTCCATTAACAAAAAGTTCATAAATCCTCCACACTCGTGCTCCACTCAAAAATAGCTCATGCAAAGTGATGCAAGGTGACGATTTTCTATGATGGTGTCAACACACTCCTCTTGTGGCTATCTGTGATCTTGGAGGCTTAGTGGCCCTTTGGGTGGGAGATTGAACGTGAGGGGGCATTTTAGCCACAAGAGGAGTGTGTTGACACCATCATAGAAAATCGTCATCTTGCATCACTTTGCATGAGCTATTTTTGAGTGTAGCACGAGTGTGGAGGATTTATGAACTTTTTGTTAATGGAAAGCTATGTGAAATCATATATTTGAATTTTTAGTTGGTCACTTTATTGTGTTCACTGATCACATTTTAGTATATGTTATTTATGGGGGGATAGTTTATATTCAGGCACATGTTGAAAGAATATTAAGGCACAGGTCCTGAAGTATACGTATATCAGGACCGCTGATCACTTTTTAAGTGTACACTTGTATTTGGATCACATTGTGGCACTTTGTGTATTCATTTATTAATTAAATTTAGTGTGTTAATATTTAATTACCGTATTTTTTTCGCTCCATAAGACGCACTTTTTTCCCCCAAAAAAGGGGGGAAAATGTCAGTGCGTCTTATGGAGCGAATATAAAGCGGTCCGGTATTTTTGCGGCCACCATGTCAGAATACCGGGCCAGCCGCTCAGCTGTTGTCTCGTGCAGGGCCTTACCTGTTTCCTCGCTCCAGTCTTCCCGCGCTGGCTTCTGTGACAGCCGGGTGCCCACTGCGCATGTGCTGCGCTTTGTGAATGATCCGGTGTCTTCTGGGACACATGAAAGGTCCCAGAAGGCGCCGGGCCATTCACAAAACGGAGCGCTTCTCGCCAATGCGCAGTGGGCACACGGCCCGGGAAGAAGAGGGAAGGCAACTCCGCGGAAGTGGGAGCGGGTACCTGTCAAATTCAGGTACCCGCTCCCCCTCCCTCCCCAAAGGTCAGCAGTCTCTGGTCATTCCCTTCACTGTCTGCAGTCTCTGGTCATCCCCTGCACTGTCTGCAGTCTCTGGTCATTACCTGCACTGTCTGCAGTCTCTGGTCATTCCCTGCACTGTCTGCAGTCTCTGGTCATTCCCTGCACTGTCCGCAGTCTCTGGTCATCTCCTGTACTATGTCCGCAGTCTCTGGTCATCCCCTGTACTATGTTCGCAGTCTCTTGGTCATCCCCTGTACTGTGTCCGCAGTCTCTGGTCATCTCCTGTACTATGTCTGCAGTCTCTGGTCATCTCCTGTACTGTGTCCGCAGTCTCTGGTCATCTCCTGTACTGTGTCCGCAGTCTCTGGTCATTTCCTGTACTGTGTCTGCAGTCTCTGGTCATCTCCTGTACTGTATCCGCAGTCTCTGGTCATCTCCTGTACTATGTCCGCAGTCTCTGGTCATCTCCTGTACTGTGTCCGCAGTCTCTGGTCATCTCCTGTACTATGTCCGCAGTCTCTGGTCATCTCCTGTACTGTGTCCGCAGTCTCTGGTCATCCCCTGTACTGTGTCTGCAGTCCATTGGTTCAGAATATTTTTTTTTCTTGTTTTTCACCTCTAAAACCTAGGTGCGTCTTATGGTCAGGTGCGTCTTATGGAGCGAAAAATACGGTAGTCACATGTGATATTTATTTGAATATTTTTACGATTTGAAGTTGGGGAATACTATAGTAGTGCTGCACTATATGGTAAGATGTCACTTCTTGACATCATTGCCTACTACTTACAAAATCTGGGAATGATCACAGAGGTCACATGGTACAAGGTCATTCATAACAGCCTTGTACCATGTTACAAGCTGTGACCAATCACAGCTCACACAGTATTTCTCAATGGCTGCAGGAATGCAGCCAGAGAGAGAAGAAGAAATTATTGCATTTACAGCCTTTATGGGTGTAAAAGCAATCAGTGTAAAAAAAGAAAAAGAAATGAATCACCCTCCACAAGTAGTACAGTGTCACTATGGTGACACTGTACTGCTAGGGTGACAGTATGTTAAAAAAAAAAAAAATAATAATAATAATATAAAAAAATAAAATAAAAATGTAAAAAATATTTCTGAAAAATTATCATTTTTGGTTATAAACTAATTTGGGTTATTTTTTTACTAAAAAGATAGATTAATACATTTTGGCCAAGATTTATGAAGAAAGATTATTTATTTGCAAAATTTTATAAGAAAAACACTTTTTTTTCAAAACTTTTGGAGTTTTCCATTTATATAGCAAAAAAAATAAAAATCCCAGTGGTGAATAAATACCACCAAAATAAAGTTTTATCTGTCTCAAAAAAATTCTAAAAAATTCATATGGGTACAGTGTTGCGTGACCACGCAATTTTCATTCAAAGTGTGATAGCACTGAAAGCTGAAAATTGGCCTGGACTGGAAGGGAGTGAAAGTGTCCGGACTTGAAGTGGTTAAATCCCCTCTTAGTATACTGTCACCAGAATGATGTCCCTATTGGAATATTTCCCTCTATTCCTGTTCCATGAAAGCGGAAAAGTTTTGATTTTCTCTAGCATTCAGTTCAGATAACAATGGTAATTGGGACAGATAGAGAGAGTATATAGAAAAGCAATGGCACTAGTAGTGAAATTATTCACTGTTTGTTGTTATATTATGTTATACACCCTACTTAAAACATCTGCTCAGGGCCTTGTCCACTGTTGCGACTGGGAGATAGAGGTGTGGTTGAAGAGGCTTCTGTAGGTGATGCAGCTAAAAATTATTTTTTTTTAAATAAGCATGCTCGGGGCTTATAAGGTGTAACACTGAGCGCTTGTAATGAAAAGTCTTTTTCTATACATCGGTAAAACTTTTTAAAAGCATTCTTCTGCCATCCAAGTCTGCAGTGAAGTAACATTATAAAAGATCAGTGAAACAGAGACTTCTGCTGTGCCTGTGCCTGTTAGCAACAGACCCTGACAGCTCTGTTTAAGTGTTTTCAGGTAGGGTTACTAGAACCTCTGTAACTTTTAGGACTTTTGATACATCTTAACAGTATTTATACTCTTTCTGAGTACAAGTGGATAAGTTAAGATAAGTTCACCTTTTAACAAAAAATAATAAATACACATTTTTTACAGATAAAAAATGTGCATTTATTATGTTTGGTTTCTGAAGCCTCTAAAGCATTGCACCCATAATCAGTAGATTGCTAATGCTATGCAGGTCTCCTGCAGATCTGTCAGTGTATCTGTGTTCCCATACATCCTATAGGAAAGCAGATACATTGTGACAGGAAGACTCAATGAACTACCACAGCGCCATGGTAGTTCATTGATAACTACAAGCCGACAGCTGCAAAGAACTTGTAGTTTTCTCATTCGCGTTTTGTTTAAATTGTGACAGCTAGCGGGGGGGGGGGGGGGAGAAGAGCCCCCACTAGCTGTCAAAACAGTGGAGCGGGGGGATGTTCAGGGACCGGTCTATTCGTAACATATTACATATCACACCCTGAATATGGATGCAGCACAACAGCTTACAATCTTACACAAATTTACAGTATTCCCCCTCCCATAACTGGCCCTGTAGCACGTGCCTGAGTATTCCTTCTGAGCAAAACGCCAGTCTGGCTTGAGTTTGTAGGATTTGTAGGTTTGTAGCTCTCCAATGTGAAATGTCACTTTAACCTCCTTAGCGGTCTGATTATGTCCATATTTCTGTGCTCAAAGCGGGTATATTTTTTTGCATGGAAATATGTATTTTTTTTATTGTAGGCCTGTAATTTTTAGGAATAACTCACTGAAATCTGTCCAAACAAGAGTCTAGTAAACATCCCGGGTAATTTGAAACACAAAATCATCAATTATAATTTAATAAATAATCATAAAAAATAATAATAAATTTAATTCAATAATATAATCAAACCAAAAACACTGAAATTTGAAATATAGCGCCAAGTTCGCACATCACTGAGCAAAGCCACAAAATCGTTTTCAGTGTCTGATGACGAATTTCCCCCACGAATCATTATCACTCAATTCTGCAAGTATTTCTAATTTACTATCGCTGTTCTCTAGCTGGTCTAAAACCGATTTTGACCTAAAGGGACGCTTTTTGGATGCCATGGACATTTCTCAGTTTCCAGGCAGAAAGAACATAAAAAAATGCAGGCAGGGCACAGGACAAAGCACTAGGGACAAAATGTATGTGACATGGTTTGATACAGTAATGTTTTACTATGTGATTTTAGTGAATGTCACTTTTTGTCATTTTCAAATTTCCCGCCAGTACCGTCCCCTCTACGTCCCGTCGCTCGCAGGGGACGGAACCCAGAAGACAGATGCCAGCATCCACCGGATTACATTGCCGAGGACACTGCAGGAGGGACATCGTGGGGAGCGCAAGACAAGGTAAGTGAAGAACAGATCCTGGAGCAGCGCCGCATGGTAAGCCCGAGTGTAGCTCGGGGTTAACACTTTTGGTACTGAAACTTTACCCCGAGCTACACTCGGAAATACCGTCAGGGAGGCTACGTTCTGGAGTCCTTCCAATGATCAGTAACAACACTTGTGACCTGACACAAACAGAGACCCTAACTAACTAACTATAGGCCTGGACTCAGTCTCAAGGCACCAACACTGAAATGAGGTGCGTGCACGATCTTACCGACCCGGGTCTGCTTTTCATCCACTGGTGACTCTGAACAGAACAAATGTCTCTCCAACAAGCATGCGGTCTCGCCGTATATGTTGCTTAGTTCCTTTGCTCTCATCAGCATTCCTGGCAGCAATCTCATCAGCATACCTGGCAGCAATCTCATCAGCTTCCTGGCAGCAATCTCATCAGCTTCACTTAGCTGCAGCTCTGGTTACGGAGGGATGCTCTCACACCTGGATGTCATCAGATTCTCAGCTCACACGGCCCCCCTCATTCACCATTCTCCAGAACATGGCTGCTCTCTCTTCTTTCTGTTCTCTTTTAACTCTGTCTGAAAACTCCACCTCTTCATGAATATAGAAATATCTATGCAGTCTGAGGCTGTGTTAGAAAAACAGTGACATCTTGTGGCTAAACTGCAGAATGTCAGTCAAAACATTTAATTTACTCCGCACAAGCAGTGTTCAAACAATGAGAGCTGTTTCCCCATCTCTCAGAGTCACTATGCAGTATACCTACCTGGGTTAAAAGGGAAAGGCGGTATTTGACCTATGCAATTTGGGTCATAAAAGGAAGTGAGAGTATATATGTATGTCTCTGGTGTTGGAGCACCTAAAGGAATATATGTCGATATAAGCAATAAAGAGCACCTGTTTTGTGAACAAATTATAACAAATTATAAAGGCACGGATCCAGCACACATTATGGACTTTTAAGTTGTATTCAATGTATTCACCGTTGTTGCATAATCACATGGTTTGGATGTTTTAATTCATATATGAGGTTATAGAGATATATGCGTGGCACTATTTTATAACATATGTTTTTTACATATTACATGACTGGTGTGGTGGTGATCAGGAATTCTGACTGGTGACACCATGTAAAAAAAAATGTTATTTTTTTTTTTAATTTTTTTTTACAATTCTTTTTACCACACTGTGACTAGTGCAATAATACTGAAATTGATCAATTCAATGTTTACTGTTGTGGCTAGTTGTGACTGTCATTGTCTGTACTATGTAATTGCTGTGACCAATCACAGGGATCATCACAATAGTACACAATGGATGGCATGAATGAATGCCATCCATTGTGTATGCCTGTCATGTAATCTGTTGTGATTGGTCACAGCGATCATATGGTATGGGCAGTGGCCAGTACACTGATCTGTCATCCGCTGTGTCTGGTGGATACAGCGGGTGACAGATCTCGCCGCAGTGTGGCCCTTTCCAGAAGGATGTCATATGACGTTCACCTGGAATGGTGAATGTCCCACCCGGCCATCATTTGACTAAAGCAGGAAGTGGTCAATGTTGCCTCTTTACCACCTTTTTAAACCCCAAAAACCTGCACCACAACAGCATGGTGAATGAGTCGCATTTTATGGGTACTACTGCCTGCCCGCTGAGTGCAAAAGCATTTATAGCTGTTGCCCCGGTCAGCTGCCTTTAGAGCCCAAGGGGGAGAAGTTGGTGGTATGTGTGTGTGTTGGGGGGGGAATGTAGTTGAACCCCCCCCCAGAAAAAAATTATCTACGGCCCTGCTTTCAGTGATAATGGTAAACAGGACAAATGGCAAGGGTGAATCTCCATCATGGTTACAGACAGCAGTTAAAACCTATTAGGTGTTTTTATACCTCTCCTATTATCATTAGGATAAGCAAAAAAAGCTACCAATGTCACCATATCTTTACTGCCTACAAAAATCAGGGCATCCATGTAGTGAAAGGAAATAGGACCTAAGGGGATTGTCAACCCCATAGAAGTGGGACCACTCCCAACAACCCATATATCTGCGAGTGAAGGCAACAATTTTGCCACCATCGCAGCCCCACACCTCTGGAGGTAACATACCTCATCAAAAATAAAATAAGTCAACAAATACTCCAAAACTTTCATAAT